TGAATTTTCATGTGAAAGACCCACCTTAAGAAAGTCATAGGTCCTGTATATAGCATTAATGTTAAGGATGGAAGGTTTCTGACTAATTTGAAAATCAAATGTTCCATATTGAACCCCGTACTCACACTAATTTGAACCCCTGTAGTTCATAAAGAATACGTGGTCAGGGAAACAGGAGTTATATTTATTTTATTTTATTTTTTAATAATATGAAACATAAAATGTTGCCTTGTACCCATGAATAAGGCAAAGAAAACAAAGATAGGATAAGTATGAAACTAATAATAAACCATGGATACATTGAATATATCAGGGACCCATTTATATCTATAGTGTGTTTATCTGTCTGAAATACATGTATACATTTCTGTCACATTTTTATCATCAAATACAAGTTAAAGTTACAGCCTTCTTTATGTATGACACCATACTTCATCTTGTTGTGATAAACATGTTGCAAGTTTTCATTTCCTTGGGTGTTTTACATAACAAAGGGTAGGGGGATTCAAATGAACAACCCTCCCAGCCCCAATATAGCAAATAAAAAAAGGACTTTAAGAACATGATCCAGATTAAAGATCCTATTAGAATACACCTTTCCAATCTCCTATCAATCATCATTAAATTGACCAATCACAAATTGTCATGTCTACAAATTACCCCCTCTGAGATATCATGGCTACAGGCCTGGACATTTTTCATGAAATTTAGTCCACAACATTGAGCAGGCTTTTAATTAGTTAGCATACATCTGGTTGACCTGTCTCCTTCTCAAGAAGGCTCTATGTTTGGCTCTACAGATATCTTATACATGTCTTAGTCACTGGTAGTTTAAGGATTCTTTTAACATATAAACCACCTAGAGGTTGACATGACATATTATTATACTTCATGTCAAAATGCCAGATTTTGATTGGTTAATACGAAGGAGACAATTTACTCTATCCCATGGCAAATACTCTATTATCCTTCACGGAGACACTTGCTCAAGTGTGCACTTTAATAAATACAGATGATTGTTACATACAAGACAACATAGTTTATTACTTTGAATTTGAAATTTAATAGACAGTAATAACAGAACATTCAGTATAATAAATTAAATAACACATAGCTGAGAGGGTGATAGAGCAGATTGTTACCCCTAGAAAAGACATTGTCAACCTTGCCTTCGCCTCAGTTGACAATGTTTTCTCGGGGTAACAATCTGCTCTATCACCCTCTCAGCTATGTGTTATTTATATATTGTCTTATGTTTTACTTCTTGTTGTGATTTCTTCTAATGGGTAGATTCAGTTGGTCTATGATTTTGTATACTGAACACTTAGTGGAAAGATTATTAAGCCTTATGTTTCATTGGATAGCGAGGTGACCATATATTTGAAAAGGTTCTATGCTTGACTTCTTGTAAAGATAGCAGTTGTATGCTTGACTTCAGAAGAGGTAGCTGATTGATGCTCAGCTTCCTGATACGATAGAAAGTCATCATCTGTTAGTAGATAGTAAAAGATTGTTCCTTTGTATAATAAAGACATCTTCTGATGTTCTATAGTGAAAAGATTGTTCCTTTGTATATTAATAAATACACGATAACAACAAAATCTAAGTAATCACAATCTGATTGAAACACTTGTACAGTTCTACCTAATTGTGCTCTTTAAAATTGTTGCATATGATTCTATGTGCATGAGATAAAAGTCTATATTGGAAACAACAGATTTCATTGATAAAATGAAATACTTTGATTTAATTTAAAATAAAGAGTCTTATTTGTTTTTGAACAATGACAATGTCTGATTGAACTTGAATGTGAAATTGTTAAATCTAAGATTCACTCACACATAGAAGAAATCGTATAGTGTACTCATTGAAGGGCCTGTAGCTGCTTAACTAAAAGACTCGTTGCAGGGGCAGATCCAGGATTGAAAAAAGGGGGGCTTGATTTCCATTAATTGAATATATACTTTTTTTTTTACAATCAAGGGGGGTATACCCCCTACCCCCTGGATCTGCCCCCGAGGTATGTCAAAGAATAGGCAACACTTTCTTTACCATTTTTAAAAGATGTCAATAGTCATCATGTAGCAAGGGTGTTCAGAGTAACAAATGAAAATATTTTATTGAGAATTAATGCATACAATACAATACCTATGGGCTTGATATTAAGACCATTATTATTCATAACACGATAAAATTTTAAAATGATATTCCTGGGTTATTATGCAAAATGGTGTCACTTCTTTAGATATTTTAAAAATGACAATATCTAGACATAAAATCTTGTCTTGTGCATGTATAAGTTTTGATAACTTTGACCCAGGCATGGTAGGTGACACTAAAGATTAACATCTCTCTATTTAAAGTTATCAAAAATTTCATAAACTTGACTCAAATCTATTAAAATTTCAATGTTGTTATTGTGATAGATTTGAGCGCATCGTTGACCACTTAGATAAGAGCATCGTCACCTGGAGGGAATGTAATGAAAAGTCAAGTACCCTCTTATTAGGGGTTATACCTTTCACTTATATGGATATAAACATAAATTTGATTGGTCAGATATTGGAACAAGCGCTAATTTTTTATGTTGCAAGTTTTAAAAATCTGACCGTATAATTAAGTCTTGAGAATAACTAAATTCACTCTTAATTATAGTAATTTTAGTTTATTTGACTATAAAAGGCTAAATAATTGAGTTGTGTATTATTTAAGTTAAATGGATAGATTGTTGGAATAATTATCAACATTTCATGTGAACAATTGAGACAAAATGTGGTATTTAGACTAAAAGGATATACCAGTGAAGTGCAGTGAGATCAATATAAATTGTTTTAAATGGTCAAACTGAATAAGATTTCACTCATGTGTATTGCGAAGGTGTGTTTACATTCCACATGGGGAAGCCAACAAAGATTGCCAATGGAAGTAAGAAAAAATATTTCCTAATTCAAAAATGAGGAGAAATTTATCTTTTGAATATACTTTGTGTAAGAAGAGGAAATATGTTACTTTACCAAGTATAGAGGTGTCTGTACTGAGGTCCTCTTCATGTGTTACACCTCTAAATAATAGGAAAATGTTTCTTCTAACACATATAGGTAAGAACACTTGTCAGTTTTTCCATATGATAACAGGATTTGTCTCCTAATTTTATTTTCACTGTGTTAAATCACAAAACAGTGAATCAAGAAATGATCCCAATGTTTAAAAGCTTGTACTAAGGTAACAACTCCCTGGGGTAAAGTTGACTTAAAGACAGTTTTGGTCCTTTTTAATGCTCTCAATTTTTTTGTTTATTTTGGCATATAATTATAAAATGACTATTTGTATTGGTCCTAGATTTGGTGTATCTTTGACATTGAGCATTGTTGATGAAAATTCTTATATTCTGTAAATCATAGTTCAAAATAGATCAGATAAAAGGTTGGCTTTCTTTAGAAGGACAGGAAAAGGGGGTGGGCTTCTAGTTTCTATTTATATCTGACAATTGAGTTTCTCACAACTATGATCAAGAATTGTATGTTGGTATATCTTCTCAATTTTTGTATTGCATTTTGAGATATAATATAAAGCAAAGACTTCAAAGGTTCAACCAACAGTGTAATATAAACCATAGAAAACTTACTAATCTATACACAGTAAATAACTGGACAGAAACTGGTAGGAAAGTTTAAGTCAATATTTGTCTTGTTTGAAGATTAGGTATACAAGTTCCATAAACATATAAGATATCCAGTGAGTTACCAAATATAAACACTACATAATGATACAAGATGTCCAGGAATCTGTGGTGGTAGTTGAGACAGAAGTGTTGATAGTTATCCTGATGAGAATTTGATAATCCCTGCTGAGATAAAGTAAAAATGTTGTTTATAGAGGGGGGATCACTTGTTATATACAATGATAATCTGTAAGGTTGATTGATAGGGTATTCAACATTACAGATATGAGGTTATGTTTTGATTGAGTGTGAAAGATATGAAATCTACATTTTGATTGAGTGTTAATGATACTAAATATACTTTTTGATTAAACTATTACAAGATATGAAACTCATTATTTGATTGAATGAGAAAGTCAAAGTTGAAGATGTGTTTTAAGGCTGGAGGGTCAGCTTTAGGCCAAAATTCTGTGTTTGTGTTTTTCACTTACTTAAAGGGCAGACAACCCTAACCCCATGTGAAATTTAGGCCTATTCCATAATTAAAGACAATAAGTTGATCACTGCATGTATTTTCTAGTGTAATTGTGATCTAGGTTGATGTCTCATTGATTTACCAGTATACCCTTATCTCTTTCTTTTCATATGTATGTGCCTATCCATCAAGGAGAGATAAATAATTATGCTTAATATGGAAAGTTATTAAACTTATTTATAAATGTATATAAAATCACCACACAAGTTTTTATTTGTCCATGACTCCTCAAACATTTAAATACACTTTACAAGCAATACACTAAATCTTCACATTCTGATAGATTATCAGTGGAACAAAGTGGTGAATTTAACATGATTTTAAATAAGGTTGTTTTGTCAAATAAAATCCATACAAAAGATGTGATTTAAATATGATAACGTTTTTCCACAATCACCTAGCAGGGTAAAATAAGCATTTTGAGTTCACCAAGAGCATTTCTTATATCTCACATGGTGAAATTTGTAACAAAAAAACACTGGAAAGTATTTTTTGTTGTTGATATATAGACATTCTATTAATGGATAGATTTCCAGAATGAATGAGGACAATGGTTCACGTATAGCTATGCTCTCATTCCTCTTTTTTGCACCAGTTTTGGATGTTAACTTGTTGGAATGTGGTGAGTTTTAGTATCTGGTCTTTTGAGTCTTTTTATGAGTGGAATGCATGACTCAAAAATGTAACATTTTATTGATAGAGTTTTAAAGTTATATATTTAAAACTTGAAATTATCCATATATTGTTTGTTTTACAGATTGCATCAAGTCAGTATTTTATGAACAATGATTATTTCTTTTACAGACAGTAATAAAAACAAAACCAAGACCAAGAATGTACCAAAACCTAGTCACAGAACGGAGCCTGAACCTAAACTGACCCTGTCACATGCTAAACAAGAAATACTTCGACTTGAGGCCTTATGTGAAAATAGAACAAAGGAACTTAACATAGCCAAGTTTGAGATGAAGTCCTGTCTCTCCGGCTTCGATGCAATGTCAGCTCTTGTTAATTATCTCTCTAATGATGTAAGTAAATCTGTATTAACAATGCATTGCTTTAAAAAAAACACTTTTAAGATTAGCCATCATTTTTGGTTGAAAGTTCATTTGAAAAATCTTAAATTGCTTCTGTGAAAAATTTCAAATGAAATTCAATATGTACTTGGATGTGTACCTTATACTTTTACTGTTATATAGTTCAGACGTTTAATCTCTTGCTTTGGTCACTGAATGTATGATAGAGCTAGTCAAATATTTGCTTAAGGTGGCTGGGTTTTTCAGACACTTCAGTTTAATCTACCAATACACAGCATTTAAAAATACTCTAGAAAGTTCTAAATCAATTATTGACTTATTCATTCCCATAATGAATTTTGTATTCCGATAGTAATTATACTCCGCTCTGAAGGAGGAGGGGTGTACTGATTTGCCCCTGTCTGTCCATCCCATGAAATGTCTGTCACATTTTTCTAAAGAAGTAAAAATCAGAGCTTTCTGAAATTTGCTACCAGGCTTCCTGTCAGCATGCTGTATATATATATATATATATATATACCTCATCAACTTTCTATATATTATTCTAACACATCCTAGCCATGTATGAAATGTTCATCACATTTTTCTTGGGAATTACAAATAATAGCTTCCTGAAATTTGCTATCAGGCTTCATGTGGACATGCTTTACCATGCAATGTGTTCTTTTCTCTTCTTTTTCCTGATTATCGAAAAACTTAAAACAGGGGCATCTTTAGTGAGCAATAGCCTACAGCTCTACTTGCTCTACTCTACTTTATACTAATATATTTTTTGACATTTTAAAGTCTTGAGGTGATATAAAATCAATATAGACTTTTATATTGTGTAAAGCAGTATTTGGCAGAAACACTATACATTTGTCTATTGGCAGTGCAACTCTATGCAAAAGACCAAAGTCATTCAGATGGTGCAAACATTAGCTTTGAAGGATGTATGTATTGGTATAACATTCTGTTTGTAAACTAAGTTCAAAATAAATTATTGAAGCCTAACTTATGGTTATTAGACTTTAAACTTTCCACCTGGGTAGGATCAAAAGGCTTTACAATTAACCACTTGATTATATTGGCCATAGAACTTTATTTATAACTACACTGAACTTAGAAATCACTCTAACAACAACATATTTCATTTCCTCAATCTGCAGCTTTATTTCTGTACAGTTTATGCTGTTGGTGCAGCATTAGAGAACAGGAGATTAATTATCTAAGTGGGAGGTTGATCTCCAAGTGGTTATTATAAAGGAAGTCATTAATAAATTATATGAAAATCTTGACTTTTTTAAGAGAAATTTATGTTTTAGTGAAAATTTAGTTTTGTTCAAATATTCATTGTTACTGCAGTATGCTATATAAAAATAAAGAGATGAGGTATGATTGCCAATGAGACAACTATGCACCAAAGTTCAAATAAAGTGGATGTAAGCAATTATAGGCAACTGTACGGCCTTCAACAATGAGACAAACCCATACCGTATAGTCTGCTATAAAAGGCCCCTATATAGCCTATCCTACAAAGTTGTATTAGGGTTCCATTTGTTATGCTCAGTGAAGACAGGTTTAGGGATGGAATGGTTCATGCTAATAATTTAATTCCAAGATAGGTGGTCAGAGCCAGTTGCAGGACAGGCATTTCAAAAACATTATAGGAATGATACAGCTTGAGTTTTAACTGCTTTACAATCAGTCTTTATTTGTCTTGTTAAATGTTTGTCAGTAATGGCTTGAATCCTGTTTCCTTTTAAGGTTAAGGGTCATGATCATTAGATGACCAAACACAAAAAAGCCATCGAAATTGCCCCATAAACAGACTGATTTTCAGGCAATGCTTTTCTTAGAACTAGAGGTTGATTTACCAAGTATTTTTATTCTATTTTATTTTTGCCTTTGACTTTTAAAAAGTTCATCTACCCTATAGGTACTGTACACATTTTTCAACCTTTGACAGCAAATGTAAATCTACTGATACATGTGATACAGAATAAGTTGAGTTTTATTAATAATTTGATAAAACTAAAGACGTGTATACCATAAAATTGAAGAAACCTATTGGTTTTGTAATGGAGTTCACAGAAAAATCCATTTATGTTTACCATCAGTTCAAGGATTTTAGTTTGATAACAAATATAAAATTCACAAAAAAAAATGGACTAAAGGATATTTTGTTATTAATCTTTAAAGCAGAATCCCTCTTTATTCTTGATATCAAGTCTTTTGCATGTAGTGATGTCAAAATAGAATTACTCTCTACTAACTGAATGTTGTGATTCACTATTATGAATAAAATGAAGATTAAGTACAGCAACTGTTGATGTTTGTGTTCAAAAGAGGTTTGTTTGTAAACCATGTACTTCTAAGATTTAATAAGAGTGGAGCTGAGTGCTTCTATAATTAAAACGTGTTTTAATGCATATGAACTTAACATCTTGCAGTCAAGTTTTCCTTTTAATATACATGATTCTGATTTTTTTATTTATATATTTAAATATTTTTAATGGTGAAATGATATTTTTGTCTTCTTAATGTTTTAAAGTAAGTGTAATTGGTCTTGTAAAATGACACCTCCTCTATCAAAACCTGCCTTGTTGAACCTACTTAGTATATTTATACTTTATTTTTTCTCGTCCTGAAATTACATGTAATATTTGTTACTGGATTTTTAACAAACAACAATCAATCAATTAATCTTTGAAAAGATGTGATTGAATAATTGCATGTTTATGTTACAGCTGAAAGCCTTCTCTTGTCCCAAACTAGCAGCACAGCTACACAGAATGAATAATTGCATGTTTATATTACAGCTGAAAGCCTTCTCTTGTCCCAAACTAGCAGCACAGCTACACAGAATACAGCAACAGCTGACAGAATCACATACACAAACTGGTAGGTATATATACTGTTATAAATAAATAAACAACTGTAAAATTAGAAATTAGTGTGTGCGTTAATTATTGAGAATCACTGAAAACTGGTAAAAATACATGATCTTATTAATGCGATTGCAAACAATTTGTATAAGAAAATCACAACTGAAATTATGAATGAGTGGTTTTATTATTTCCAACCTGATAGTGTCACATTTTTTTGCATAAATAAAAACAATGCATTAATTTCTGAATTTCCAGTATTTTAGTTTAAAAAGCTATATATAGAATATTTATTTAGAAGTAAGACTCTTCAGCTTTGAATCAGATACAATCTTTATTAAACCACCATATTAAGTTTTGGGAAGGAGAGCATATGTCTGTGAAGATCATGACTGACTCAATCTATGGTAATACTTATAAGCTTGGAGGAAATACTCATATCTTATTTTTTGTTAGAAATAAAATAAAAGATCATAGGGTGGAAAAAAATTTACCTAAGAATTGTTGTGTATACATTATGAATTATGAAATTACTGTATTAAATATTTAATTTTTCTCAGATGATTTGAAAACACACAAATCCAGACTTGAACAAGAAATAGCAGATCTCTGCACCAAACATGAACAGGAAAAACAGGGAATGGTGGAGGAGAACGAGAAAGCTTTGGCTGCAGAGATCGTCAAATTTACACTGGAGAAAACAAGGGCACTTCAGATAAGTAAGTTTTAGAACAGAGATCGTCAAATTTACACTGGAGAAAAGAAGGGCACTTCAGATAAGTAAGTTTTAGAACAGAGATCGTCAAATTAACACTGGAGAAAACAAGGGCACTTCAGGTAAGTAAGTTTTAGAACAGAGATCGTCAAATTTACACTGGAGAAAACAAGGGCACTTCAGGTAAGTAAGTTTTAGGACAGAGATCATCAAATTAACACTGGAGAAAACAAGGGCACTTCAGGTAAGTAAGTTTTAGAACAGAGATCGTCAAATTAACACTGGAGAAAAGAAGGGCACTTCAGGTAAGTAAGTTTTAGGACAGGGATTTATTGTGAGGATGAGATTTGTCAAGAACCTTCAACTTAACAGATTAACCAAATGAGGAGAAATCGTTCAGAATTTTTTTTTTAGATTAAAGCAGAATACTCAGAACTTTCCAAACATTTTGTACTATAAATGTTTCTACAATATTCCCAGATAAAAAAGTAAGGATGTATTTGTAAGAAATCCACATATTTATTTACCAAAGTTGACCTTAGATGGATTTGGCTTTTATTTTAGGTCCTTTTTGGTCATATAGCTGTTCAACTGTTTTTGTTCTTATTCATCCTAAGCTTTCAATTATTCCTCACTGAGTGTTCCTGATAAAGGTTAATCCAGAAAAGTGCTTAGGATTCATGAAATCTTATGTTTTGAATTAAATTTATACTAGGTTTACCTTTAGAAATCAGAAGCTTTCATATATCATTCATTAAAGTACAAATGTAGCCCCATCTTTTGCAACAATAAAAACATAGGGTCATGCGGCATTTTTTTGGCATTCACATGGCCTTGTTTACAAACACTGTAGATTTACACTTAATTCCTATACTGACCCCCATTACTTTTCAACCCTGTAGTAAATGCATTCAGCATTCATTTTTATTTTTTTTAACTCTTAGTTTTGATCCATCTATCAAAAAATATTTATTACAAACATTATCTACCAATCAGAAGAGCACAGGACTTCAGTATTATACAGAAAGCTCTCCCCCAAATGGGCGCTCCCTAATGACGTATATTTATTTACTGAATTTACCCCTATAATGTTTACATTTTAAACATTGGATGGGAAGTAACTCTTGTTTTGATTCCAGACTACATTATTTTGTCAGATCTCATACTTACATTCACTCTCCAGCCTTTTTCTTAGTCATTGTTTGACTAGGTTTATATTATATGAAGGTATACATACTATAGAAGATATATATATATTTTTCTTGAATTGTCATTTTATGAGTTTATAATTGTTTTCATAATATTGTGCCAAGGGAGATAATCACAATATAATTATATTTTAGCTGAAGAAACTCAGATGAAGGTTTTGAAACAACTGAAAGAAATCCACAGTGATGAAGTAAGTGAATTTTATTGTAGTTGTTGAAAACTTATGTATGTGCTTGAAAATTTTCCTGATTTTAAGCCAGATTTTCAGATTCGGACTTTTGTCTCTATTTCTAGATTTAAATATTATTTTTTTTCCTTTCAATTATGGATCAGTAGACCATTTTCACTAATTCAAAGATTTCCTTACCATTGGAGCTAACAGGAAAAAATAATTGAATTTGCAGTCAGAAATTGATTGTTCAATCCATTAAAATGTATGAATAAAAAGATATGAAAGGTTTAGGTCAACAAGACAGTAACCTAATGACACAAACAAACAAAATACATCTAGAGGGCATGAAACAGTCTTCAAAAATAGACCAGTGTATATATATATATATTTCATCCTGCAAATTTTGAGTTTGTGTACTGGGTCAATAATAGATTTAACAGAAATAAATATGGTCTGCTATCTACACTTAAAATCCAAAAATGACAAAAGATAATCAAATGACTTGGGAACATGTACATGAAGTCATATATGTATTAAAAAAGCTACTAAAAAAGAATTATCCATTTCAGGAAATTATTATGCAATATTTTAAAATTTTAACTTTAAGATAAATTTCATGTAACAATTTATTTTCTGAGGAAGGTTTTGGTATAACATGATGTACATGTACTTGACTTTAGGTCAGACTAGAATTAAAAAAGTATTTTTTTTCTTATTAGCCTATTAGTTGAAGAATGTATCAACACTTATTTCCAATATTCACCAGTGATTATATTGTATAAAATGTTTGTAGATTTCGAGACTAAAACTTGAACATACAGAAGACTACATGAGGATACAGATAAAACACAAAGATGACATTCTACGCTTACAACATAAACATGAAGGTCAAATGGAAGGTTAGTGTATGTACTTGTTAAGGGGTTGACATTCTACGCTTACAACATAAACATGAAGGTCAAATGGAAGGTTAGTGTATGTACTTGTTTAGGGGTTGACATTCTACGCTTACAACATAAACATGAAGGTCAAATGGAAGGTTAGTCCTTGTTATTGTTATCTAGTGTCTGACTACAGACCCGAGCATAAAAAGGGCACATGGTTTAAGATTTGACCTGTTTATTGTTCGCTTGACTCCAATCTTTATTGACTAGGATTGTCAGTTTTCCTTCAGAAAGCCTGTGGTTCTCTCTGGGCATTCGGCCTCCTCCACCAATAAAAACTGACCGCCAGTTTATGTACTTGTTAAGGGGTTGACATTCTACGCTTGCAACATAAACACGAAGGTCAAATGGAAGGTTAGTTTATGTTATTGTACGAAGTCTGCCTATATCTGGCTGCAGACGACAGCATGATTTGGGCACATGGTTCAATTTCTGGCCTATATTTCTCAAAATCTTGTACAACTAAAGTTGATTGTTCAAGACTAGAGATAAAATTTATAAGATTATTTGAGAAATGTGGGCCTGAATTGTTTGTTCATTTCGTATGAGATCTGTCCAATTTTTGGTAATAACTTGAAAATCTTAAATGACTTTCTCTTTTTGAGAAATTAAAATAGAAAAACTGTTTTTTGGAAGGAGGGAAACATTCCTCATTGTAAAATGTGTGCCTCATCAGTTCCTTCATTTTTTGTCAGACCCCTTTCAGTTTAAGAGTTTTACTTTTTGGAAACTTATGATAAATTTAATTAGGGCGGCCCCGCCGAATGGCTGACACCCTGTAGTGATCAGTCTGTCTGTCCGTCTGTCCATCCGTAACAAATTGTGTCCGAGAATCGTTATGATTTCAAAGTTTATACTTGACATGTATATTAACCAACAACAGAGGGTGTGCCATAATGTATGTACAACTTCCTAGGTCAAAGGTCAAGGTAAAAAAACTTTGGTTTCAGTTGACAACCCCATGTCCTATGGTAAAGATTGTGTCCGCTCTTTATCTTGAGAACCGTTATGATTTCAAAGTTAATACTTGACATGAATATAAACCAACACCAGAGGGTGTGTCATAATTTATGTACAACTTCCTAGGTCAAAGGTCAAGGTCAAGGTCAAAAACTATGGTTTCAGTTGACAACCCCATGTCCTATGGTAAAGATACCAATTTTTTACCACACGTTATTCACAGTGGGCCCCACAGAGATGGCTTCCATCTCAATGGTATCTAGTTATCATTAAATTGATAATGGAGAACTATATTTGGAGAAGATCTTGCATAGTTATTACTGTTACCTCCAGAGAACCATCATTTCTTGTCATTCCCTCTTTACAATGATTCCTATTAATTTATCAGGCAAGTTAATTATAACAATATACTTGTGAAAGGTGACTTAAACAAATGTCACATGATTGGTCATGTTACCTGTATAATACTTTTTTATCCTTGAAGGATATTGTTGAAAAAAGGTTTCTGTTGTTAAATGTTTTTACTTCGTCTGCAGCTGAAAAAAAAATCACATTTTTGTTGAAATTTAGAAATTTGCACTTCACAACAAATTAGCTTCTGCATCACTTAATTATAGTCTTTTACCAAATGAAATTGTTTATAGTAGGTTTTATGTGGATAAGGGCATTAGTGTTAAGTTATGATTTTAAATTGTTTTCAATATTTTGTTAATTATTCCACATGAGTTATAGGGCAACTAATTGAATATTAATATTTTAACACATGTCTACATTTTTTATGTGTTTTTTCACCTTTTATTTCACCTCAGTGAACTTTTGAAATATTTTCTAAATGGACATTAATTGAAATCATATCAACTAGTAATGTCAATAAAAAATTGATTTGAAATTATTTGTTCTCTCACAGAAGTGCTGACTCAGTATTTTTTTTCCTACCTGACCAAATTGTATTTATTGACCTACCTTGTTGATAAACTTGATTTGTTTGAATGTCTTTGTTTACAAAACACTTTTGTTATTTTTCCTCTCGTTTGCTATCAAGGTTTAATATGTAGTATAAATACTAGTATTTGTCAATGTTTAAACACCCTTATCCAGAGATAAGACATAGTTCATGCCTTTTGTAAATCCATCAGATTTATTTTTCCAAGTAATTGTTCAAACAGTAGAACAAGACCTAAGTCTATTTCTTGATATTGATAACCACTTGTGTTTGATTTGTTAAACAAGAACAGTTGAAGCATGGTATATTGACCAGTGCTTTATTATGATCAGTTTGACCAACAGCTGATGTACCCCATTCTGCCTCTTTTTTTTTATTATTATTTTCAGGGGAAAAGGGGAGATCATATATCACAGGATTAGGGGGTATTTGGCAGGAAAGATTCTATCCTACTGGCTTGGCAAATGGTTGTGCTTCTGCAAAAAAAAAACTTTAAATCAGAATGTTTTCTGTACAAACAGGCATATTATTAGTAAATCTTGAATTTTATAACATTTTTTATTTCAAGAAATTAAGTGAAAAGGATATCTGGACTTGGAGCAGAATTAAACTTACTTTCAGTTTGAATCCTAGACATTGGTTCCAATACCTCTTTTACCTTTGGTCTCCTGGCCCATTGTTTGAAAGCATGACAAATCATTTATTTATTTCATTTGCTGAATTTGAAAAAGGTAAAGAAGTAAATCTTGTCTGTAAATATTTGAAAGGACTCTTAAAAAATCTAAATTTGTGTGCATTGAAATCATTAATCATAAAATTCTGAAAGATATGTTTTTATATACTTGTCATAAATCTACTTAAATGTTTGATTTGGAAGTTTGTATTATTTTTATTGTTCAATGGAAACCTATAAATTACCATGGAAACAAACTATAGATTTATTGTAATATTCAAAGATAAATAAAAAACAACTCTTATTGATGACATTTAGAGGATACATGAGTACAAAAAGAACTTGCATTATAACCCATAATGACTTTAGAATTGCTGCCAGTACTTGAATATCACAAAAAATAATTTGAAAAAAACAATTTGAAACAAACATGCAACAGATTGATTACAAATAGATTCTGCCAGTGTTCTAATAGATTATGGATGTTCCAAAGTCTAAGGTTCATATAGAAATCAGGAAAACAATTTGTAGACTTGTCTTTATTCCTACAATAAATTTCTGTATTATAGCTTTAAAAATAGTTTAGACCTGGGATATATAAATAAAATCTTTATTTTGATACAAATATTTTATGTTTCCAGTCAGTTGGTACCAGATGGCATTGTGGGGTACGTTCATTTCTTATGACTTTTTCAGATCCAGCAAATTATTCTTGTTTTGGGAAATGGCATTTTTGGATTTTATTTTTTATTTTATTTGGCTTTGGTATCCTAGCTTATGGGAATTGGTAGATAATCCTATTTCCCTTTGAAGAGTATGGTACATTGTGGGATAAAATTGCTTGCCATGTGAATAGAGTCTGTTAATAAATGCAGACATCTCTGCTTATTTTTAATTTAAAGTAAAATAGATATTGTATTCTTCACTTTCATCATTTTAGAGGTCTAGAAATAAATGTTTTATTCCTGCACACTTAACATAAATGATGTTTTTTTGACAATTTTCCAAAACTAAAAGATCTCCTTTATAATTTGTGACAGGATCACACCGCCCACTTGTATCTCTCTGTATTGTATTTAAAATATTTGATGAATTCAAGATTTTATTATTAACAAATATATCTTGATTGGTATTTTAACTATTGAACTGGAAAGATGAGTGCCAAATATAAAATCTATAATTAGATAGTTAATATCTTCCTCTGTCTTAAATATCTCCTCATCAGAAGCAAATGTTTGAAAACAGAAATAACAAAGAGATAATCAACTGCAGTTGTTAAATATTTGAAATTTTCTCTGTTTTTATTTATAAATGTTTTTCCCCGTTTTTTTTTTTTTAATTTGGTGATGTATAGGATAAAAATGATAATCTTTGTTCTAACAAAAGCAGTAGAAAGTTAGAATTACTCCTGCTTTATTCTTGGAATACAGTGTAAGCTCAACTGGTTTTAAATTATTGAATTTAAAAATGCAACCCATGGTATGTCTCAAAAGTTAGAACAAATATTTGGAACTATTGAATTACAATTGGATATATAGAATATTCTGTGTTCTAATTGGTGTAAATTAATCCAACTTTTGATATGTGATATGTGATATGAAGAATGAATTAATATAGATTTGAAGAACACAACTTCCCAAATTTATTTATATGGCTAGATGTAAACGTGACTGCCAGCAATAATAACTTTAAATGGATGTTAATATAAACGAATCAGTTGCATAAAATTGGATGTTATGCAAATTTTATAATTACTTTTGCTTGAAAAAGTGACTGTTCGTCCAAAGAGTCATTTATGTTGAGTTGATATAACGTCACTAACAGTCGGCACCACGTATAGGATCACTTTTATCTATTTTATATAACACACTTTAAATTTAATTTCTATATCATGTTTTGTCATACAAAAGAATATTTATATTTTATTAATACTCGTGTATTAACTAGATAAATAGACAAACAATATAAGATTTCAGCTAAATTTCTTTTATATCGTCCTTTTATACCGGGCCTACAATAGTATAGGTAGTTAGATAAAAATGTTGACAATCGACATACCGTTTTATGTTTAGGGATAATATGTTTAAGAACCATAAAAATTTGAATGAAATATAACTGAATGGGAGCTTCAAATGTGTCTGCCTACTCAGAATGTAAAGTTTTATGTTCCATTCATTTGAATTGATGACTTTGGTCAGTTAGGATGTCCACAGGAAAGTGACCAATTTATGGAGCAAGTCGTTAAATGAAGAAGTATTGAATAGAAATCGTTATTAAATGTGTAACATCGGGAATTATTAGTTGTTAAAGTCAAGATTTGATGATAGACATTTAAATTGATTTACATTATGACATCTACATTTAAAACAGTTATATTTTCCCCTGAAGGACGAAACTTTTTTGTTTAATTTTGAAGTATTTACCTAGATAATTGAAGACATAATGATAATAAAAGAATTCTCAACAATTATATGATTAAACTGTTTGACTTGCGTTGGGATTTAATATTTATTTTTACTGTTTGAAATGATCGGGGTAAAGTTTGAATTAAGGAGGTGAAGTGTAATCATTTGTGGATACCTATAGCAGTGTTATAGTCGTGTGGCCTTCGAGGAACAACATTGACATTTAGATATAAGTGGATTGCCTCCTACAGAAAGTCAAATTTAAGAACTAATGTGACAAGATTATTTTTTTGGAATGGTGATTTAAATTCAAAAATTCAAAAATGGCTTTGGCATTAGTAAAAAATGGCAAGAAGCCTCTATCTACTGTGTTAGGTGCAGCCAAAGGTATTTATAGTGTATTTTATTTTTCTTACAATTCAGTCATACATCATAATGTTTATCTTTGTGTATGCATTGCCATTTATACAGTTTTACATTTTAAGAATGATATACCTTCCTATCATTTGCTGGTGACTAAGCTTTAACGTAGTGGGTCATATTCGGAAAATATTTTTTCTGACATTTACTCATTGAATATTTTGATTATTGCCACTGATTTCAAACTCTTTTTTCACTGTTGAAGAAAGAAGCTGAATTTAATACAGGTGGTACATAAGGGTTAGTTCCCAGATTGGAGCCAACTTTCCACATTTTCTTGTGGCTATTAAAAGAAATGGTCCTTATGTATCAAATTCTGCTACTTTTTTATACTTTTTTTTTCATATTGTTAAACTTGGCAGCATCATAAATATCTGTGTAGTATTTGCCACTGGACATGGATAAATTTTTGTATTCTGTTCCAAATTCTCTTAAATCATTACAAATTTACTGTTTACATAGATAAACCCATCTTCTTTTATTCTTTCTTACTCTCTTAAACTTTAAATTAAAGAAAGTCTTAGAAATATAAAAATAAAGACATCTTAGATGTTAATTTGGAACAAATCAGCGATCTTGTAAAGACTTGTATAAATTGGACTTCAGCCAGTATAATTTTAATAAAATATTTTCCAAGCTGATATTTTGAATAAGATATTTTATCTGTTTAGAAAAGAAAGTATCTGGTGTACATAGCATGGATTTCATAAGTCAAATCAGTCCTAATTAGGTAAAAAGTTACATATTAAAAATCAGGGGATAGGCATATATATGTATGTAGAGATAGTGAGCTAGGAGCTAGGTAAACATTATCAACAATACTTTATTTTTAATTAAAAAAGATATTGGATATTATATTGCAAAAATTTTACCAGAATAGTTATAGCTATCAGGTTTTTCTACATTGTTTCATGTATAGTAATTGAAATGAATCTCATTTTTCATAACAAGTTAGATTGTATACGGTACTTGAAGGAAGACATAATTCTCCATCTACTTCTATAATGCAAAAGTTCCTAAACCTTCTTCCTTTCTACTACCGTTCCAATTGTTGGTCAGTAAATGTGCCAGTGAGTCTTCTTTTGTTTTAAATTAGAAAAAAAGTAGTTTAAAATGAATGAATTTTAGAAGTAAGCCTATGATAAAACCTGTATTTAAATCATCAAATTCCTCTGAAGTTGCACATTTCTGATGACGTATATCTGCCTTTAAAAGAATAGAATCAGCTTACTCTAAAATGATTTGTTTAAGGACTCAAAAGCAGTTCTGAGCCTTACGAGACATTAAGATTTCAATAGGTGATAGATATTTAATGATGTGCCTAAATTTATATTCTCTTTATCTAATATCTATTGCCTGAGAAAATTTTATTTACATGTTAAATATTCAGTATGTTTAAACTTTCAAAGAGTGAGGTTTTATGTAATATATAATGTCTTTTCACTTGATTGCATTTGATAAAAAGGATATATATTTTATATCGTTTTCATACCTTTATTATAATTCTACCACATGTAGATATAATTGTGTCGAGGTAGTTAGGTAAAAGTACAGCTATAGCTGAATGTGTAATATGAATACAAACTAATGGTGACTATCATCAAATTTCATTTCAATCTTATGCAATACCGATTACAGATTCAAACTATTTAATAAATATTTTGGCAGAAATTTAGTCTCATTTTACTGTGTGATGTACTTTTATTGAACAAATTAAGAATTTGTGGTGAAAAGGACTAAACTATGATGTATACCAAGTTTGCTTGGAGATCTGGCATCGGGGAAATTGCAAACTTAACTGGTTAAAAATATCTCATAAACATTAGTTAACAACATATTTTTATTAAAAAAAAAACTTTCTCAAATCTATTAAAATTTATTTTCAGAACTTCACAAGCAACACAGAGACAAACTAGAAGAAATCACAAAACGATTTGAAGCAATGAAGCTGAACTTAGCTGTAAGATAGTTTATGAATATAATAAAATCAGGAATGTTTTTAAAAATACACAAGGCAATTGGTAAAGGGAAAATACAAGACCATAGAACAATTTAATATTCAATATTCTTTACACAATCTTTAAAAGTAATCTTGAGCTCTTCTCCTTGAAAATCTAATAATAAAACTTGTTCGTAAGTTTTACGAAACTTCAGTATTTTTCTCGCAAGAGTCACTGTTTAGAAAAAAATATGAAAATTTAAAAAACAGATGATCAGATATTCATTAAGATATAGATTATTACACAATTTTTTCCATATAAGTCATAATATCAACCCAAGGTATAATTTGAGTGTCTGATATAAGGTTGAGGAATCATAGCAGGACTGATATGAAAAATTTTATATCTTATTCTCTAAATCATATATTTCAAACACAATTTCTTTTATTCACCATATCAAATGCATTGAATATGAAACTAAAATTCTAACTGAATGCAGACTTCAACTGGGCATACCAAATCATGTAAACTTTTAATTTTAATGTTAAAGATTTTGTACTTTATCATATTGATGTTATATGGACCGGACCTATCAGAATGAAACAAAAACTTATTCATCACTTTTCAAATTTCGTCATTGATGCATACCCACACACCTCTTTTCGTTATATCAAATAGATGCAATACTAAAAATAAAATGAGATGACCAGATTCTTTTAATGACCAATATAAAAAAAAAAAAAAAAGAGAAAAAAATATCAATATTACTTCCTTATCTGTTATAGGACAAAGTTGAGACGTTACGTACTGAATGTGATGAACTGAGGGTGAGAGCACGAGACAGCGAGGAGATGTTGTTACGAGATTCTGATATTAAAGTACAGGTTGGTTACAATCTTAAACCACATCAATTTAGATTGATAATCATATAGGCAATGTTTCAACTAGGACCACAGAAAGACATGTCACCTTGATAAGACATGTTATTCAGACTACCAATCCTGGCAAAGTTTGCTCTTGTTTACAAGTACTGTGTGCTGAGTGCAGAAGTAGCAAAACAAGTTTTAAATGTTTGGTTTGGCCTGACCATGGAAATAAATAGTTACTCCCCTCAGTAAAGTAATCTACCACAAGGGAACCAATATGGTAATTGATTTGGTAGTCTGTACATATCTGTACTTATGAAAAAGTATAAGTCGTAATAACCAATAATAAATCTGTTACTGTAAACGTATTTTATTACTGTTGATACAAATAATTAATATACTTCAACCAAAGAAATCTCCATTGGAGTAATAGTGTTTAGAGACCTTTTTATATCAGTTTTCTCTGTATTTTTCATCTGAGTTCATAACCTTTATCAATGACCTTTATTTTATTGAGTGATTGCAGTTATAATGTGTCAGCACCGAAATCTATCTATCATAAATATTACCGGCAAAGGAATTCAGTTGATATGTGTCAATGGCAAATCATATTTGATATAAATATTAGTGTCTACAGGATAAGTGTTGTTTGCACTTGTTATTGAAAATTTCTAGAGTGAATCTCTCTGCATTTACCGGTAGGAATTTACAAAAGTTTATTGGTAAATATCCTTAACTGGTTATGAATTATTTCCCTTCCTTTCAGATGGCAGTAGCTAGATATCGACACATGCCAGCTGAGATAGAAAGTCTGAAACAAGTCCTAGACATGAGGAATGAAGAAATCTTTAAACTAAGAAACAAAAATATCGATCTTGGAAGAGCGGTAAATTATTTTAAACTGTGTAGTGACTTTTAAATGGAACATGATTTAATTTAAGAGCTTTTTCACTTAAATAAATTCCTACCAAAAGAAGGTAAAACATTTTGCATTGCACTACAATGTTTGATTTACAAACAAATTAATAATAGAAAGGTCACACTATACCTTTATCATTTAACTCAATGAATATTTATCAAATGATCAGCTTGGGACATCGACTCTAACCACTGCTGATTGGATAAAATGACAAAATCTAAGAATTATAATACAATTGAGAGTACATCAGTTCGAAGGAATATAAAGTTTGGTCTGTAATTAGTCATTTTGCAAGTGCATACAGGAAGTCAGGTAAATTTTTGTAGGTACAGCAACAAGAATTTGGCCAACTATTAAAGATAACAGAAAAAGTAGAACTAATGGCCTCATTCATGTTTTTGTTGGTCATATTATAATTAGATATTTTTATGCCCTGGCCGTAGTGGAGGGGGCATTAAGTTTTACCCTTGTCCGTCTATACATAGGTACGTACATACGTATGTCCCAAAATTTGTTTTCATTCTCTAACTTTAGTTTGCCTCAACCAAATGTTATGAAACTTATACACAATGCTTATTACCACAAAACACAGATCAAGTTTGAATTTTGGTGGCGTCACTTTTACCGTTCTAGAGTTATGCCCCTTTACAAATGGAAAAATTGCTGAATTTTTTTTCGTTTCCGTTCTCTTTTTTAAGTTGGCCTCAACTAAGTGTTATGAAACTTTTAAACAATGCTTATTACCACAAAACTCAGATCAAGTACAAATTTGGATAGCGTCACTTTTTCAGTTCTTGAGTTATGTCCCTTTATAACGTTATATGCAAAAGGGGGCATTTCCCCATTTATTTTAGTATATAGCAGATTCTAATTTAACTTTATTTTTAATATGTTTTACAGGTGGACGAGTTGAATGTTGCAAAAGATAAAATACTGGCTTTAAATCAAAAGATAGAGAACCTAGAGGCCATTATAACCATGAAAACAGACCATGAAAAGTAAGTGACTTAATTGTATTATAAAATGATTTTGTTGATTGATTGTTTGATTCTGTTTAACACCAATTTCTTTACAGATACTTCAAAATTTGTTATTTTGTTAAGAAAATGATTGACCAGGGAAAACTACTGACCACAGCTAAGTAGCTGTCATGGTTAATTAATTGACCTTATGGACATTAAGCAACCAACAATCAATCAATTAATTGGCCCTAGCTGAGTAGCTAACAAACTCTCACACACAGGGTATTTTATATGTACTGTTGCATTTTCTAGAAAATGATGGCAGCAATGTTTAAACAGCTGATCACATGATTTGTACTTACAACATCATTGGTTAATTAACCAGAAAATTGAACCTTTAGTGTAAAAAATTGCTTGCATTACATCAGTTTGTGTCATGAAGTAAGCCTTTTGTACCTATGTGACATTAAACACACCAATCAAATAACACCCCATTAACTTTAGGATATAATCAAAATTTTATGCAAGTTGGGGGTAGAATAATAAGTGCCCTCCAACTCCCCCTTCCCTGGTACATTTATTTCTGAGACGGCCCTTATTTTATCTTTAAAAAAACTGATCAAAGATACCAGGCTTATGATTTTGTACACAAAGTGGGTTTCGTCTTTAAAAGATTCATTAGTGACGCTCAAATCAAGAAGGTTAAAAGACCAAATAAAGTATGAAGTTGAAGAGCAATGAGAAAAAGTTTTACCAAATACAGCTTAGATTATCTATTCCCGCAGCAGAAAATCCTTAGTATATTGAACAATTAGGTTACTTATATGTAATATAAGTATTGTTTATTCAAACAATATTTCCAGCCAACTTTGATAATTAATCTTTCCAGTAAACATGCTGACATCTTGGATACATTTAATTAACATACACAGACCATTTGCTACATCTTGAGATTAATTTCTCAGGCAATTGACACTTTGAAGTTACACTGCAATCTCACCAGGGGACATACTAATCTATTCTTAATCTGATACATATTACAATTATTCACTGTATGTGATGAAAGGCAGAATAATTTCAGTCTCATAAAAATAATTACACACTAATTAGTATATATAAACTGAAGGTCAGTGGTTTCAGTCTCCACCCACTAGATGATTGATGTACCCAAAATCTGTGTGTTAAGCCATATGCATGGTCTTGTGCAATCAGTTTCTTGGTTCAAAGCAGTCAAACTAAGTTCAACTTAACAGTTTTACAGTGCTAGAATTCAATTTATTATTATTTCAACTTTACAACTGGACTTTATTTTATTTTTATTTTTTTTAACTTGAACATTGTCACAATGTGGCTGCATTACTGAACCGCTACCACACTGATTTGAAATACTTTGTACATGAACTTTGTTTTGTTTTCACCTTTGGATCTAATTAACCTATACTTAGCTGAGTTTTCAATGTTTAAAAACTTGTGTAGTACATGTACACATTTTATTTGGATATATCTGAATTTGGATGACTTACATAAAGCAGCATTGCATTGTGTGTATTATACTTGTGGAGTTTATAACATGGATAACTGTGTCGGAGAGTATTGTGTGGAAGAGCAGAATCTAACATCATCAGATCCATATGTATTTGTGACCATACAGAGATTTCCATCATTCCATCGAGTGCTTATGCACTGGCTTTACCTTCTATACAACTGTTCTAGGCAAGTATTTTGTATTGAACTTTTATTTCTTATATACAGATGTATTTGTGCTGGGGATTTTCTTTGAAAATTATAAACTTAAGGCAAACTAGAGACTAGATTTAACTGGTTTTTATAAAGGAAATAATATAATTTTCACTTTCTTTTATATATCTTACCGCATATTCAGAAAACAGCCTCATGAAATACTAAGTATGGAATCTTTTCATCATCTTTATTGGAATAAAGTGTTTTATTTTGATTTATTTGTTCATTTGTCTCTTATAAGATTTTTGTTTGTTGTCTCCATAGCATACCCCACCTATGCAGAATAATTATTAAGTAGTTTCATGATCTAAAGATAGCTAAGATAAAAGAAATTTAAGGGCCCTAGCTGCCACAATGAGCGAAGTAATTTTAATATTTTTTTTTTTTTCTTTCAATTTAGAATTCTGACAATCACATAGAATAGTATATTTTATATATGCTGAACATGCTGAATACTACTAGTCCTTGCATCAAGTATATAATATGGAGATTTTAAATACATTTTACAGACGTTGTGCATGCATCTCTATATACGTACATTACTGATTTAGAAGTTGAGAAATGATACTTGTTGACATTTAGTGTAATCTAAGGATGTAGTGCATGTCAAGTTTAAATTTTTGTCAGGTGCTCAGACTTCTTGGGGTTTCCAATGATACAGGGTAAAAAAATTTTCCTCATATCACCTTCTTTCTTAGTATATAAGACTTCAATAGGTCATTAAAGGTTACTTACCAAATTGAACAGATCATAGATTTCTTTTCTTACGATTTGAGACCCAAATAATGCAATGTTTTATATAAATTTTTAACTTATTTTTTTCCCCCTTAACTAATGAGTTCTGGTTAATATAGTATAAATTTTAAACTCAAGATCTTTTTAATTTCACCTAACTACATCCTATATCAGATTTAAAATGATTCTAAATGGAATCATAAACAGTAACTTTGCTTGTTTTACATATAAATTTATATATATTTATATTTCAACATAAGTACAGCATTCAATATCGCCTATTACTGACACCTTTCTTCTTTTCTCTATTTGCATATCTAAACAATGAGGAAATGGAGACAGATTGCACCTCCTGTATGCACATTAGGTTCATCAGATTTACAATCAAAGACATTAGACACTATCAAGTTCTTCATTTTACCTAAGAGATGGCTACAGCTGGAATTATATGATAAAGGGACAAACATTATTTACAGGCCTTATAACTTTTGTTCAAGTGGAGCTCAGTCATACATATATATTCTCATGCACTTTGGCAGTATGCTAATCAATAATAGTATCACCAGTTGGATAATCTTTAACAATATTTCATCTTTCATCTGTGGTTTAAAGCACAATCAGCAACTAGTCTCACATTTATCAAGTTCAGGATTTCTCATGTGTAAACAGGATTATAACAGAAATGACTACCATATTTTGATACTAGAGCCTCTGTATTTCGACATGGACCCAAGAGTATGTTCAGATTTGTTATCTGTGTGGACATTATTTCTCCAACTATTCAAACAGAGGATACCCGGTTTAGCATATTGACTACAAGGCAGCACTACAGCCTCATCAGTGACGAACAAGTCCAGAAGTATTTGATTTCAAACCAAATTGTAAACTTACTTGGGACGTTGATAATTCAAGCATACTTGAATCCTTAGAATCTGACAGCATACACTTTTTAAATAGACTTCTTTGCATTTAAAATATAGCAAGCCACATGAACCAAGGAACTGTATAGTTTGCCTATTACTTTTTAGATATTATAGAGATTGTATTATGTCTTAGACAGGTGTTTTTTACCACTTTTTACAATAGCAGAGACAGTATGTACATAGGTTTTATTGCTCTATACACAGTGGAGATTTTACTGTTGAAATTTAATTTGTTAAAGATATTTATATAGTATAAATGCATTTCAAACTTTTTATATTTACACACCCAAGTTCACATTGGAGACAGCAGTACATACAAACAGTCAATACCACCCCAGAATCTAACAGTTCTTTATAGCTGTGTACTTTGAACTTTAGACAAACAGATCGAAAAAATCTTTAAATATATAACTGCATTTAACATGTATTCAATGATGAGAGCTTCAGGCATTCGAAAGAATTATTTATTAACTGCAGAACTGAACAGTGGCATTTTCTTCAAAATTCTTTTTCGAAAAATTATCATATTTGAATACTAGATATAGTTTTATAGCATTATCATTGCCTGTATTTCAGTACCAGTTATGATAGACTTTGGCTAATCTACTAGCACATGTGATATCCTTATACAGACCTAGCACACTAACAGCTACAGATGAGACACCAAGTCTCAGCCTCTTGTGGAGACCCCTCGCTCCACATTCCCAAACTGGCATATTGCCATACAGGCAGTTTTTTGCTCTCTGAATTACAATACTGAATGCATCTGTCATGATGTTCAAAATTTATATCAATCAATCTAGTGTAGCTCTCAGTTCAAAAACTTTGATATTGAATACCATTTTATAGCATTCTCATCATTGAATTACTGATACTTATTTTTATAGCTTTCTCAACATTGAATTACTGATAATTATTTTTATAGCATTCTCATCACGGGATTACTGATAATCATTTTTATAGTAATCTCATCATTGAATTACTGAATATCTTTATATAGCATTCTCATGTTAGAACTTTGAATACTGAATATCATTTTTATAGTATTATCATGTTTGAAACTTTGAATATTGAATATCATTTTTTTTTTTTATATGGCATCTCATTTACACTATATTGTGAATAGTATGTCTTGTTGTGTACATGTATATTATCTTTTTCATTAATTTTTAATATTTTTTTTTTTTTTTACTCTCATGACATTATTGAAGGTATAATTAACCAAAATCCTTGGGGGCACTCATCTGTAACCATCTGAGTTTTTGGACCTTGATGGAATTTTATCACTGGTCATTTCTAAAATTTCATTCATCCCCAAGCATTTCGGGGACAAATTTTATCAAATTTATTCCAGCGCCAGATTGATAGACCCTGCTACTTACTACTTGTAATAGCACCACATGGGCTATCCCCCATGCAGACCTTGCACACCCTGGCTGCAGATGAGACGCCTAGTCTCATCCCCTTCGTGGAGACCCCTCGCTTCACATTCCCGGCTGGCGTATTGTCGGGCAGGCAGGTTCTTCCTCACACTACAGGTTGCTATTTGACTTGCTCGGCAGGAACTCCTAAATTCTTAATTATGCTGAGTGTTTCTCAAGGGCCAAAATATTTTGTTATTGAGTTTATTGTATTAATAAATATTATTCATTTGAAAGTTTTGTCTGCTTTGAGCCAGTATGATTTATTGGGACTATGTTTTGGTTTACACACAGATACCCCCTTTATTACTTATGCTAACATTTCATTATTAGGGAGTTGGTTTATATCCATAATGCTCAATTTCACTGATGGTGAGTTTATAAAATTTTGACTTGTTACAATTTACTTTTGACTTAAAACTCACCATTTGGGACTTTGTGGATTGTGATTTATATTTGAGTTTGGCTATCAAGAGAGTTTAATACATCAGAAATAAGAAAACATTGGATCTATAAGGATTTGTTTCATTACCATACAAACAGAAAATTATATGCATATTTACATACCAGGAGACAATTACAGATAAAACACCACCAATAAAAACCTTCAAAATGTATGTTTACATTATTGGACAACAATTGTTACACAACACAAAATTTACACCATGCACAACTACAAGACAATATTGTTTGTATAAATAGGTTACTTATATGTAATATAAGTATTGTTTATTCAAACAATATTTCCAGCCAACTTTGATAATTAATCTTTCCAGTAAACATGCTGACATCTTGGATACATTTAATTAACATACACAGACCATTTGCTACATCTTGAGATTAATTTCTCAGGCAATTGACACTTTGAAGTTACACTGCAATCTCACCAGGGGACATACTAATCTATTCTTAATCTGATACATATTACAATTATTCACTGTATGTGATGAAAGGCAGAATAATTTCAGTCTCATAAAAATAATTACACACTAATTAGTATATATAAACTGAAGGTCAGTGGTTTCAGTCTCCACCCACTAGATGATTGATGTACCCAAAATCTGTGTGTTAAGCCATATGCATGGTCTTGTGCAATCAGTTTCTTGGTTCAAAGCAGTCAAACTAAGTTCAACTTAACAGTTTTACAGTGCTAGAATTCAATTTACCCCCCACCAACCCCTTCCAAACACCTTCAATAATGTTCATGACATGAGGAACATCTCAGCTTTTACCAGTGATATTTTTTTTTATTTTATAACTTGTTTTCCTTGATGGAATTTTATCACTGGTCATTTCTAAAATTTCATTCATCCCCAAGCATTTCGGGGACAAATTTTATCAAATTTATTCCAGCGCCAGATTGATAGACCCTGCTACTTACTACTTGTAATAGCACCACATGGGCTATCCCCCATGCAGACCTTGCACACCCTGGCTGCAGATGAGACGCCTAGTCTCATCCCCTTCGTGGAGACCCCTCGCTTCACATTCCCGGCTGGCGTATTGTCGGGCAGGCAGGTTCTTCCTCACACTACAGGTTGCTATTTGACTTGCTCGGCAGGAACTCCTAAATTCTTAATTATGCTGAGTGTTTCTCAAGGGCCAAAATATTTTGTTATTGAGTTTATTGTATTAATAAATATTATTCATTTGAAAGTTTTGTCTGCTTTGAGCCAGTATGATTTATTGGGACTATGTTTTGGTTTACACACAGATACCCCCTTTATTACTTATGCTAACATTTCATTATTAGGGAGTTGGTTTATATCCATAATGCTCAATTTCACTGATGGTGAGTTTATAAAATTTTGACTTGTTACAATTTACTTTTGACTTAAAACTCACCATTTGGGACTTTGTGGATTGTGATTTATATTTGAGTTTGGCTATCAAGAGAGTTTAATACATCAGAAATAAGAAAACATTGGATCTATAAGGATTTGTTTCATTACCATACAAACAGAAAATTATATGCATATTTACATACCAGGAGACAATTACAGATAAAACACCACCAATAAAAACCTTCAAAATGTATGTTTACATTATTGGACAACAATTGTTACACAACACAAAATTTACACCATGCACAACTACAAGACAATATTGTTTGTATAAATCAAAGTTTGGTAAGCAGTAAATATATATGTATAACTTATCTCATTATTCATTCTATAAAACTTGCCCAATGAGCTGCAATAGACATAGATGTTAACCAGGGTAATACATGTTAGGCTTGATAAATTGAAAACGTTTTTGTATTAATCTACATTAATATCAATGCTTTAATCTTGATGTTTAATTTTCAGACAAATGAATGATAAATGTCAAATGCTGATGAAGAAATTTGATAAGGAATCTAAAGTAAACAAGAGGCTCTCTATGGATTATGAAGAATTAATGTGGCGGATGAGCCAATCAGAAGGCTCCATGGAAAATCTCCTCAAGGTCGGCGAATCACAAAATCCTGGTGACACTAGTTCACCTGTGCTTAGACGTAAGACAGTGTCACCTGTTGTCAGTGAGCAATCTCCACTAAGAAGTCCAGCATACAGACGATCTCTTTCGTCAAACGTTGGTGAAAAATCTCAGGACAAAAAATGGAAACGTAAATCAGCATCTTATTTATATGAGGAAAAAAGAACATCACCAAGTAGATGTAGTCCAACGTATCGGACACATTTAGGGTCAGACTCATTACCAAACAGTCCAAGAACAAAAACCTCAGGGAGGAACAATCGCATGTCTCATTCTTGTAACGATGCTGATGTATTTGAAGGGCCACAACCCCTGCCTTCACCAGTGGCCCCTCCCGAGTTATCTAACTCTTTAGACAGTGATTATTTTACAAGTGATAAAACAGATTCTAGTGATAAAGACACTTCAACAACCATTTCTCAATCTGAAGACTCCATTAGCGTAACAATTTTTGAAAAATCAAATGGAGTAATGTCCCCAGACACTAACCATGAGGACATTTCTGAAATGTCACACTCCACTGATTCTAATGGTGTAAATTCTTTGGTTTGGGATTACGAGAAATTTGACTCTAGTTGTAAGTCAATGGAATCCAGTAGATCAATGGAGTCAAGTGTTGCAAGTGATACTATACTTGAAGGGAATGACGCATCAGATAACTGTACCTTCTCTAACTCAAGCACAGTAGAGGATATTTCTATGCCTCATTCTCCTGACAAAGGAGGAGAAATTACAATGTCACAAGAGTGTAATACATTAGACAGTGTCGTTGAGTTTTCTCCTCAAAATGAGGTCAAAGAATCGAAGGGGGAGGATGTTCAATCTAAGTCAAATAGTGATTTACCAAAAAGTAAAATTCCCTCATTTATAGGCATGCGTGAATCTACTGTGTAATGACGAAGAGGGAGAGAGAGAAGAGAGAAACGACAGAAAAGATGTTTTGCTTTGAAACTTTCAATGTTTATTTTTTGTCCAAATTAAATGTTACTTGAGAATTTTGAATTGAAAATTCAGTACCTGCCATATTTATTGTTTAGATATAGCTTTAGGCTAACCAATATAAACTTTTCAGCTATAGTAAAAATCTCTTTATTGAAAAAGCAGATAAAACATTGTTTGGATCTTGATTTATCGTAAATGATATTAGTTATAATTATGCAATTCAATTTTGCAAGTAAGCAAATACAATGTACATGCATTTATTACAAATTTATTAAATGTTTGATATTATAGCTTTACCATCCTACTGTACAAAACCATTTTGACTTGATAAATACATTTTTTAATAGTAAAGCTTTTTACAGAATGGGATACAGACATACATTGGTACTAGATACAAATAAACATTCCTTGGATATTCTTACTATGTTCCAGGGCTGGACATTATATATTGAGACATGTTGTTCAAAAGACCATTCTATTATTTTGAAGAGTAATTAAAAAACTGAACTGATAATCATTGTTAGTGAAAGATTGGAGGCATTATAATTGCATAGAAGTAAAAATTTCTTGTGATAAACCTGATACTAATACATGAATCTATTGGTTCAAGGATAAAGTTTGCTAGTTTTATCACTGCCACCAGCCTTGGAACATATACAGAGAAGTCCAATTTACAGATCATTTTATAAATTCATTCATTTAATACAGAAGAGGTATAACACTTCATGACATATTGTCATCATCCATGATTTTTATATTGTCAGGAAAGTTTGCTTTTGGATATAATTATAGGTAGCTGGAATAAACATTTTAGTTAATCATTATAATTGATGGGAACAATAAGAACATCTCAGCTGATATTACATGTTCAAATCTTCTGGATATTTGTTACGACAAGGGAGATAATCAATAAAAATTGTATGATACTAAGATGATGTATTATATTTTGGTGTTCATAGAAATAAGAGAGTTGTTTCTTGTGGAAACTTGGTGTTTGATACTGAGAATATCAATTTCAAAATAAAGATTAGTGAAAGAATCTTAAAAATTCAGTGAATAAATATCCAGAAGACTTTAGCATAGGATCATTGAAATCCACTAATAATTATGTAGATCTCACAGATTAATAATATATGTATAGATATTAAACTAACTGTTTGAATTAGGAATCTAAGAATTGAAAATTATGCTGAAACTATTCGACTCCGAACAAACTTGTTATATATTTGAGCAGTATAAACAATAAATGGTTGATTAAATAATATATCTTTTTTGTCATATAACATATGCAAAGCAATAATTATTCTATTATGAATAAACACATGAAAAAAAAATTTAAAAATTAATAAGAGTTATTAAAAGAAAATGTAGAAATATATTGATATGCTATTTCAGATATAATATTACAAAGTTTACGTACAGGCGTTTTTAAATGTTGGTTTTGTGATAAATCTATTAATGACCCCTGAAAATAAGAAAACAAGAAAAGGGTCAGTGTAAAAGTTTCTTACTAAAAGAAGACAAATTCACTGTTCATTCAATAATGAAAATCTTCTTGGTTATCTCCCCTTATATATGTTAAGATTATTTAGATATTACAAATACATGTAATTGCAATTCTAATACCATGTCACTAGAAATCTATATTGATCATTTGTGATTTAAAGTGGTGGCCTCAATTTTTTTTTACTCTAGCTTTACTTATGCTTTGAGTATTGAAATCAAAGCTGATTTTTGATAGAATTTCTTTTCAGAAATTTTAAGCAAGAAATTGAGTTTTTGAAGAAAAATGAAGATTCTGATTTTCCTAACTCAAGCAATTGGTTTCTTATTGTTTATGTATTTACATATGTCTGTTGGTCATGTTTTTTGGTTTATTTATTTATTTGTACATAGAAATTATTCGTTTGTTTACAGTTAGTGCTATTGAAATGTAAGAATTTTGAAACTTGTTCAATTTTTTTTCATTAATGCTACTTTTTGAAGATTTTTCAATGAATGTATTACTTCTGAAATGAGCATATTGCTTACATGTTAAGACATTGTTTTGAAACCAAATTTTGATGAAATATTTGGGAAAAACAGCTTTCTTAAAAACAAACTTGAAAAAAGTTTTTCTAATGTGGAAAGGGAGACAATTCCACATTCTTGTTTAAAAAAAAAAAATTCTATTTTTTTTTTTATTGTGATTATGCCTTAATGTATGATAAATTCAGAGAGAATTTTGTAAATTATGTTGACAAATTTGTTATAAATGTTAATATTAGATATTATAATACCAAACAGTAGTTGGTTACTTTTCCAAATCATTATTTGTGGTATGTTGTCATATTATTTATGTGTCATGTGATGAATTAAATGTTGTGATAAATGGTTGTGTAGTTAATAAACTGTTTTGGCTGTACCATGGAATAGGTCACATGATTAGTTCAAGTTTATATCAAGGATGAAATAACATATTTAAAACAAAATTCCTACAGAAAATTTTGAATCGATTATAAAAATATTTGAGAGAACATGTATCAAAATTTATAATTAACTCTTTATTGGTTTTTCAGAAACAGAATTTTGACTCATGTGGTCAATTTGCAATGTTTTATAGAAAATGTATTATTACAATATCCACTTCATGGGGACTAATTCTATGATACAACTAAAATTAGTTTATGATTTTTTATGTGTTTTGTGAATCACTATACTCTCTAGAAGTGTACTATGTAAGATGTATCTTACCACAATCTATATTAGTTGATCTTTTTTGGTCAAGATTTAAATTCATTTTGTGTTAATTGACTTAAAATTAGTTGTCTTAGTTTCATTTGAATTGCCTTAAGATAGGTGTTTATTGTATAAGAATCATATATGTTAGTTCTCCATTACAATGACCTTTTAGTTGATAGTCATGTCACTGGTAACAATATTGAATCTCCATAGAATGATCTTTATGTTTTTAAATTCATTTGATTATATATTCAAGCTCCTATAGTAAGTGCCCAAACCATCCCTTAACTAGCATGTTTCTTTTATGGTGAGGTCAAATCAAGCTGACCTTGACAAGTCTAAAGTTCAGTTTACTTTTAATATTCTGCAAACATGGTACTATTGCAAGTGTGTAGCACCAATAAAATGGTGGTGCTGTCCTATTTAAGGTGGTTCCCAATTACTAGTTTTTTATGCATTTGTAATTGAACCATACCAACCATACAGGATTCTTTGGCAGTGAAGTAGATTATCCATAGAAAAGACCAATATAGATTGTGGTGACAATACGTAGTTGTGTCTGCAGGTAAACGTTGCTAGATGTTTCATGTTCACATTTTGTCATTTTATTATTTATCATGATTATTTAATAAGGCTGTGTTCAACCTGCAGAAGTTAAAATAAAACTATTTAAAATATCATTTGTTATCAATCTGCTCTTGTTCCCTTTCTATAACTTGAACAAAATTTTGTTTCACTCCAATGTTCATTCTTTTTTTTTTTTCTCCTGAAATTCTAATATAAGAATTTTTGGTATATATGTCTGTATGTCCTTTCTATTGGAACAAATGAAGAACATGTTTCCAAATAAATTAAATTTAGTTCATCACGAATAAAAGGAAGGGTGCAGAATACACCAATGAATCGGCCACTCCATATGACCGAAAAACCGAAAAAACATCTTAATTTGTCTATTGTTGAAAGGTCCTTAGTATTTTAGATTAAGTCCATGGTAGTCTCTGTTGAATTATTAACATTTTGTATGCTATGGGCTTGTATAGTTTAATTTCTTCTTTCTGATGTGATAATGATGATGATGAATGGCTATTTAACATCTAGTGGAAAGTTAAATGCATATTTAGGATGAGAACATGTTGATATGAATTTGAACCCTGCTTTGTACTAGACAACAAGTTGAGAAGGATTTTGAGGTGCTATTTCACAAGGTAACGTCCGCAGGAGGGCATATCACCTTACTTAGCCTATAGACTGAGCTGACCCGTCTTTGACCTTACTCCTAAACACCACTTGCCATGAGGAGAAGCAGCAAATATCAATTTACAAGTCTGGTATGACTGGAGAGAAGCACACTACCATGAGACCACAAAGTCAATATCCCATCTTCTTGTGCTTTGGAGGGACCTTGGTGGCAGAGTGGTCAAAGTAGTACTGTATCACTATCCTGTTAACACAGAGGTTGTGAGTTTGAACCCCACATGTGGCAGGTGCGTTAGACTCCAATCTTAATGGACTAGGATTGTCAGTTTTCCTGCTGAGGTTGTGAGTTTGAACCCCACATGTAGCAGGTGCATTAGACTCCTATCTTAATGGAATAGGATTGTCAGTTTTCCTGCTGAGGTTGTGAGTTTGAACCCCACATGAAGCAGGTGCATTAGACTCCAATCTTAATGGACTAGGATTGTCAGTTTTCCTGCTGAGGTTGTGAGTTTGAACCCCACATGTAGCAGGTGCGTTAGAATCCAATCTTAATGGACTAGGATTGTCAGTTTTCCTGCTGAGGTTGTGAGTTTGAACCCCACATGTAGCAGGTGCATTAGACTCCAATTTTAATGGACTAGGATTGTCAGTTTTCCTGCTGAGGTTGTGAGTTTGAACCCCACATGTGGCAGGTGTGTTAGACTCCAATCTTAATGGACTAGGATTGTTAGTTTTTCTGCTGAGGTTGTGAGTTTGAACCCCACATGTGGCAGGTGTGTTAGACTCCAATCTTAATGGACTAGGATTGTCAGTTTTCCTGCTGAGGTGAGTTTGAACCCCACATGTGGCAGGTGCGTGCAACTCCAATCTTAATGGACTAGGATTGTCAGTTTTCCTGCTGAGGTTTGTGGTCCTCTCTAGGCACTCCTGCTTCCTCCACCAATAATAACTGTTCACCACCAAATAGCCAATAGTGCTGTAAGTGGCATTAAACACCAAAATCAATCAATCAGTCTTGTGCTTTTGTTTTTTAGTTGATTGTTATATTACAGGCAATATTATCAAATCTCCATGGTATTACTTTATAACCTAAAGTAGTGAAAGATGGCACAAGTTTGAGGGCTAACAATACTCTTCATCAGCCCCTGTGATTGTTATCTAGAGAAATTGAATAGTGCAAGGGTGATAAATGAGATAATTTTTTATCAACACCAGAATTCTTTGATGTTGACTAAGGTTCAATAAATGCCTGAATAAGACTGTCTTGTTCATGATCTGAAAAAAAAATCATCTAAGAAACAAGATCAATCTGGATGCGAGTCCCTTTACTGTGAACATGAAAAATCAAAATACTAGATCTGCAACTAAACCATGTATCAACACTCCCAAAATAATTTAACATTATGTTTTTATGAAACCTTTGTAGCTTACCTTACAGTATGGGTCTTTACTCGTTACTGAATATTAGTTTATGGTCATTTCTTGTCCTTTGCTCTTGGATGTTTTGTTATTTAGCCAAAGGTTTTAAAATTTTGTTTGAATAAAAAGATGTGGGGTGTATCTGGGAGACAGCAATCTAACAACGCATGAAAAACAAAAGACAGAGGTCAACAAACTGACTTCTACAATTAACTATTGTATATATAGGCAACAGTAGTTGGCCTATGTTCAAATCTCTCATTATTAAATTAAAAAGATACAAATCAAGGTAACAACAAAAACTTGGCGAATTGTAAGAACTCCAAGAGGAGCGAGACTGGGTGTGTCAACAGGGAACTCCAAAAGGAGCAAGACTAGGTGTGTCAACGGGGAAGTGTCTCCTGTTAAGCATGCATCACCCGCCATATGAATCCACTTTATTGTTCTACACCATAAACTTTGTTGTGAAGCAAGACAGATCACCTATTGGTGCCACTTTAATCGTCATCATCGCCAGTTGATACAATTTTCCAATATAGTCAATTTTTAGTATCTGTACTTAAGGTTATGACAGAACTTTCATATTTGGTGTAAAGTTGAAATAGCATCTATCCTACTAGCTGTATATGAAATTATATCATAGGAATGCTCAAGTAACTTTGAAATATTTGTCTTGTTCAAATTTTATTAAATTTTGTGACTAGCCAACAACAGCATGTGTTTAGTCTTGTGTGCATTAAATTTTATTTAACTTTTTTTAAAAATTCCTGTCACTGAATAATGAATGAGAATGTGTTGCACAGTCAATGAAACTGAAATGCATTGATAATTTAACAGCAAACCAAATATCTTGGCCTATAAAATATACTTTTTTTCAAAATGCCTAATCAATGCCAGAATCGTTTTTTTTTTTCTAGTTTTGTCAGTTTAATAATGTTTAAGGAGAATTTCTAAAAGTATAGTAATTCAATGATATTTGGTATGCAGTTGCATTTACATTGGATATTATTTGGCCTTTTGCAAATTTACGTTAAAATAATTTATAAGGTCATTTAAAGGAGAACGACTTTTGTAAGTATGTTGTTTAGTATGCTACTGTTTTAACCACTTTGGTATCTAATTTCAACGTTGACCCTTCACTGAACCAAAGATCAAAGGAAAGATCATAATATGGACTTATAAAATTGAGAATGGAAATGGGGAATGTGTCAAAGAGAAAACAACCCGACGAAAGAGCAGAAAACAGCCCAAGGCCACCAATGGGTCTTCAACACTGCGAGAAAATCCCACACCCGGAGGCGGGCTTCAGCTGGCCCCTAAACAAAAATGTCTATACATTAGATAGATCATGTCTTTGGAAGTGAGTTCTATATTTCCCTAGATTTTGAAGAATCAATCATCATCTGTAGAAGGTTGAATAATGTTAAAACAATTTTGGTATCATGGCTGCAATTACTGTACAGCACAACAGACCATATCAACTAACAACACTCATCTCTTTTTAGAAAAAACATGTGAACAAAATAACATGGTCAAGATAATCCAGTTGATACAGGTATGAAATGTGACGGAGTTGTACCAGTTTTATATGTACATAAACCTCTCACTTAGAAAATCTAGACCATGTCATAAAAAACCTGCACAGTGCAGCTTCCAGCAGGATGACCATTTACTTGAAATAATAAAATGTGCCAAGAATGAATCACAGTCAATTTTAAAATGATCAGGAAATTTCCAAGCTTTATAAAATATTTATTGATAATAAAAGATATGACAAAGCCAAGTGAATACTTCCAAGTGACCTACTTTGTCAAGTAGCAAATAATTGAGGGAAGTGATGTAGACTTGGTTTGGTGTAGATATCAGCCTCAGTTCTCTGCGTTGAATGTAGACTTGGTTTTGGTGTAGATATCAGCCTCAGTTCTCTGTGTTGAATTCAATCATTAATCATCTAGATTCATTCTTAAATAGATTCATACTTCCATTCTCAATTCTATTATAACCTGATTCATTCATAACTTGTCCAGTTTCATTCATAACTTGTCCATATCATTTCTCAAGTAAAAGTTTTCATTACTAAGAAAATTGGTACATGTGACAAACAAAACAGAGTAACTTAAACATTGATAGGAACACAAAAACACTCAGCAGGGACAAATTCAGTACATTAATACAACTCAACAAGTAAAATACACATATTTCTTCATAAAATCATTTTGTCTTTATTTGGACAAATAAAATAAATAGACAGACAATATGTACAAGATAAAAATTAAAACCACACATAAAATTTGGCACTATATTGTTACTCTGAGTATGATTGTTGGCTGTCACTTCCATCAGAACTACTGGATGATGGTGGTCTTACTGAAAATAAGGTCAAAATTTAATAAAACATTACAATAAAATAAAGTTCATAAAAAAGTTTTTGGTTTGTTAATAGGTTTCTGCTCTCCAAATTTTAGAGCTGAATAGTGTAACATTGGATGAATTTTTGGATAAAAAAGAATAAATAAGAGAAGATTTTGTCTGAGGACACAAATGCCCCCACTCAAGCTTGCTTATAATATGTAAAAAATACTTTTGGGATGGACAGAAAGACAGACGGAAGGATGGACAGTCAAGAGTAAAACTTAATGCCCCCTTTGCCTAGTGGCAGGGGCATAAAAAAATAAACGTGTTTCATACATTTTTCCAAAAAAATGTATATACAGAGTTCTCGAAATTGGTGGTCTGACGGTTTTGACCACCAAAATTTCCAAAGACCCATTGAACACAATATACAAAATTTTGCAATAGACATAATAGTGAGGACCAGCATATTTTCTTCAAGGACCACCAGGGGAAAAAGATTTCGAGAACTCATATATATAGACATTCTTTTAAGACTTAGATGATATAAAGATATCCATAATCACTTAATATAACTTATCTATTATATTTTAATATAGGAGTAACATGACAAGAGTCACTACTGGAGCAGGATCTGCTAACAGTTCTGGAGAACTTGAGATCACCCCTAGTTTTTGGTCGGGTTCGTGTAGCTAAATCTTTATTTTTCTATGTAGTGTTTTGTGAACTTGTTAAGTCTTTTCGTCTTCTTTTGTTTTTTTGCCATGGCATTGTTAGTTTATCTACACTTGGATCTCCCCTTGGTACCTTTCACCTCTTTTAGATTGTATAAACACCTGTCTGTGTGGGAGAAAGGGGGCAGGAGGTGGGAGAGAAAAAAAGATTCTAAAAGTGGGAGGTGGGAGTATCCCCCTGTCCACCTCCTCGTCTATTGTTAAAGTCAGATATTGTTTTGCCATCTTATGTCTTGGTTATTTGTGATGTTGGATTGTTGTCTCATTGATGTACACCTACTATCTCCTTTTATTTATAGTCTAGCTAAATAAACTGTTGTCTGATCTATGGTCGGGTTGTTGTCTCTTTGACACATTCCCCATTTCCATTCTCAATTTTATTAAATATGGTGTTTTCAAAGTTTGCAGAGAAAAGTGATTTTCTGTCACCATATGTCATTTAGTGATTTTCCATCACCAAATTTCATAGCTAAGGTTAACTAAGATATTTTCAATCACCAAATGTCATACCGTAGCAAAAGTTAACTAAGTGATTTTCTGTCATAGCTAAGATTAACTAAGTGATTTTCTGTCACAAAATGTCAAAACTAAGGTTACTAAGTGATTTTCCCTCACCAAATGTCAAAGCTAAGGTTAAGGGGACAACCATTAGATTCTGACTGTGGGGGCCTAGCAGATTTTGTAAATAAATATTCTGGCCCCAATTTTCACTAATAAAAAAAATATAATGGACCAAAAATATTTATTCAAAATTTTTTTGGCTAGCTCTGCTCACCAAATTTACCAAGTATACAATAGTTTATGAAATACAGGCAATGGCAAAATGCAAGGGCCATAGAGAGCTTACTCTTTCAACCAGAAAATATATATATTTTTTGCTTAAAATCGTCTAAAAATATTTTGACTCGCTACGCTTGGCAAAACTTCTTGCCATTTTGGATAACCCTTTCCAAGCACCCTCAATCCACCCTGATTTTTATGCTTTTATATTTTGATATCCCAATCATAGCATTGCAATGTGTATCCTACTAAAAAGTGATCTGTACCATAAAAGTTAAATTAGTTTAGGGGATGACCACTTGATTCTGAGGTAGGGACAAAAGGAAAATAAATATTCTGGCCATGGTCTGAGTGACAATAAATAATCTGGTAGCCTTTAAGTTGGAAATAAATATTCTGACCTCATCAAATTTGCCAATGATTTTCTGTCAGAAAATGTCATTGCTATGGTTTACTAAGAGCAAACCTAATTGTTATCTTTGGTGATCTGTTTCAAAATTAAAAAAAAATATCACATACTGATTTTAAGGTATCAATTCCCAAATCGCCATTGATCATGTTGATTGATTTGTTTATTATATGAGGTGGAAATTAAACTCACCAAATTTAGGAGCTTTCTTCTTGCCCTTTTCTTTTTTCTGTCTAGCTCGTGCATTTTGGAACCATACTTGTGCCACACGTTTATGAATCCCAGCTTTATTAGCTATTTTCTCCATGGCTTGTGAGTCTGGGTTTATTTCTAGTATGAAGTGTGACTGGAGTATTTGTATTTGGTCCTCGGTAAAACAGGTACGTGGTCGTTTGGCTCGTGGTTTTGAGGTTCCATCGTTACTACTGGTATCTGTATGTATCGTCTCTGGTATACTGGCTCCTAAAAAAACAAGTCCTGATTAAACCCAAAACAAAGTAAACAGTTAACTTAATGCCCATTGTTGAATTCTTATAAAGAAAATCATTTTGTAGTCTTTGGAAGCTAATCCATTGATTCAGTTTAGTCATTTTACTCAAATATTTACTATGATTCTACACAAAAGCTGACACAGTCAAATATTGGCCTCATTAAGAGTGTTTGTAGTATCGTTTGATTGAAATCTATATTATTGTATATGGCTCTAAATATTGTAATTTCACAAAAAAAACAAAAAACAATTTGTTTAATTCTTTTTCATTGACGATGTTGCCAAAGACGTAAACTGGTTATATGCAGGACATTATTGTAACCAATTATATATTTAGACAGTAAACCAACAGTTTGTACTTGTATACTATTCTTGGTCAAACAGACCTCTATGCAGTCCAAAAGATAATGCAAATTGATCATGTTGATGTGCCAATTCCCTTAGTATAAATGTATAAGTAAACTTTAGGGTGAATAGATACCCTTGTAGTGAATATATCAGATGAAAGCACATACACCCAAATCTGCAATTAATTGTTGAAACATTTATTGAATTTGTGGAATTTTATACCCAAATTAATACCAGATGGTAAAAAAACTTGTATCAAAGAATTTATTTTATAATATGGGATATAAATCTGTATTGACTATCTGTAATTTACTTCTCACGGTCATCACCAGGGGCAGATTTAGAGGGGTTTCCAGGGGGCCCGGGCCCCCCCCCTTTTATGGGAAAAATTTTGTTGATTATTTAGGGAATCACTGAAGCATGACTGGAGTGGGGCCCCCTCTTAGGCAGTCAGTGGCCCCCCTTATGAAAATTTCTGGATCCACCACTGATCACTTTTTAAAGAATAAATAATTGGATACAGTCCATTATGCACTCCTACATTGATGAGAGTGTGTGTAATGTTGTCTCATGTAGGAAGGCCTCACTGTATGACTTTAACATGAAGAACAGCAATAAAAGCTTCCTTGATTTTATGTTTGTCAAGCTTGTGTTGTATTTTTGTGTTTGTCAAGCATGTGTTGTAATTTTGTGTCATATATATGAATTAATACAGCATTTTCTAGCATTCCTCACAGTGCGATATAAGGACCCATTTGGGTTATTCCCAATAAGAAAGAATTCAAAACCATGCTGAATTACCTAATATTATCAACCTTGATTCTCATGTTACCTGATTCTGGTGTAATCATATCAATAAAAAGAGATGTGGGGTGTATGACAGCAACACTTCCAAAATACCAATAAAAAAGGACTAATTTAAATATCTCTGAAAAAAAACCCTGCTATCAATAAACTGTCTGAGCTATTTCTTTCCATACTTTCATTATAACTTATTATCAGAGCTACTTCCACCTATAATTTCAAAAAACTTACCATCTGAGCTATTCCCATCCATACTTTCAATAAAATGTCTTTTACACAGAAGTCGTTTGCCGAGAAGTCCAAACTGTTCCCCCGTAGATAATGGTTTGTCACATGTTTCACAATAAAAACAAGCCACGTGATATATCAAATCTCTGGCTTTCCTTACCCAGTCTTCTCCACGAATGGTTTTACCACAATTAGCACAATCGGTTCTGTTGAATTCTCTGTAAAAACAATCCACAATATCATTAACAAAATTCTTGCAAGGATTCATGTTGGACAATTTTTTGGAAAAATACATGTAAAAAGTCAAAATTTGTAAACTCTTGCAAAGGAGTTGGTTCACCAACTCATAATTTTGACCCTAAAGAACTGGAAAATTTTAAAAGCAATACTATTGGGATAAGTTGATGAAAATATATGTTAAATGACTTGATTATGTCAAATTGTTTCAATGAATGAAAATTTTTACCAATTGTGTAATTAGTGATCATAAATGTAGGTGAATTTCATGAACCATATTTTTGCATAATTTACAACAGTTTTCTGAAAAATTGACAGTGGCGCAACCTCTCGCCCACAAATATTTTTGCTGAAATATTCTTTATATACCATATTCTTTACTTTTCAACCAAATTTTCAAAGGGCGACAGTGGCGCAACATATGAAATCATGAAATAAAGTCGAAATAGATGACAAATTTCTAAAAAAAATTGACTTAAAATGAAATCTATTCCTATATCAGGCTAATATATTTGTAATATATGGAGCAGATATACAAATTTTCTTATGATACTTTCAAAAATACTACTTTTAGCAATACATACACATTAAATTTACTCAAACAATTGAAGTTAAAAAAATTTGCCTTTGAAGGGCTGTTTATTGAGATTACTGGCTCTACTCCTTTGGCCAGAATAGAGAGTCACAAAAGTTAATACATGTACTTGTGAAATTTAACAATTGAGACAATATATTCAAAATTTTAATCAAATTGTAAAACTATTATAATAGTGCAAAATCAAAACTAATTTAACAGTTGATCTATACAAATAATATGTGTTCTTCTTATATTTCTGAATTATCAAAAGTTAGAAATAATATATTACAAAAATATCTTTTATCCTACATGCACATATGAGCTGTATACAACCTAGAATAATAAGCAAACAACAATCTATCAATCAATATGTACAATCTTTTGATATTATAAGTGTCATTTATTTTATATGCACACAAATTCGAAGTAAATTAATGTAATTAAATATCCAAGGACACCTTCACTGCTCCATAAAATCAGTAACTGTTCAAGTACACCTTCATTGCTACAACTGACGAAGTACAAATGTGCAAACTTCAATACAAATGCCAGTAAACTTACTCATTTTTACAGAAGACACTGCCATCTTTAATGTAACATGAGGAATCCCGATCTAGTGCCGTCTGACAAAGAGAACATCTAAGGCAGTGGATATGCCAGTAACGGTCATTGACCTTCAGTAGGTGTCGGTCAGTTATCAAATCTCCACAACCATAGCATATATCCTTTTCAGTCTGCGAAATAATAAATATATCAATTTAAAAAATATAGATTTTTAAAATCGAATGGAAATACCAGCCCTTTTTAAAATGTTTTTGGTTTTGCCAAGTGGGTAAAAATTGTGTGTGACGAATTAATACTTTTCCTCGAAAAAAGATAATTATAGAATAACTAATCGAAGAATTCAAATAGAGAAAAATATTCAACGAGTGACCGAACAACACATTAATTCACGAATGCGCGTAGCGCATGAGTTAATTATCAGTGTTGTTCGATCACGAGTTGAATATTTTTCGATATTTGAATTCTTCGATTAGTTATTCTTTTTATTACATTGGCAAATGTTTTTTTTTAATGAAATTATGTAGAAAATGTAAGGAACTATATCTTTTTTCTACGCATTCACAATTTGTTTTGATCCGACGTTATCGACGTCTTGACAACGCCTATTGTTGTATGACGTCAGAGAGTGAAATAACCACGTTTATTTCACATGTGAAATTATCGGTTTTTATTTGACTGGGAAATCAATGTAATTCATTGCTACCAATGTAATAATAGAGAATAATGGGCAAAAAATATAAACAATAGAGAAAATGGACCAAAAAATAAAGAATAGAGAATAATGAGCAAAAATTAAAGACTACAGAAATGAAGGATCCCCCATCCAGAATCCTTCTATCGTATTTGCTGTCTTACGCTTGATTCCATTTTGCATGTTCTACTTTCATTGTTTCATGTGTTCTCGGTTTAATATTTTTGTCCGATAGCAACGTATAAAACATTCTGCATCAGGTCAATTAATCTGTACTTAAAACACAAGTTTTTTAAAATGCTAAACGGCGTGCAGTCACCTTTGTAGCAACCCATTCACCCAAAACCTCTTTCAGCATGTGTACATAAATATTCACCTTGTGTGAACGAAAAAAGTGGTATGGTTAATCTCCCCGTTCTGTGATAATTAATACTAGAAAGAAAAAAACTTGGGTTGCTGTCTCATATATATATTCAAATATAATAGAATCAGAACTTTAGTAATGATCATACTCATCATTTCGATTCATCAATCCTGATAAAATCAGTTCTTTTCAAATTTGAAATTTAATCGCTCGATCTTGTCTAAATTTGTCTTACTTTACCGTTAATGCATTAATCTGTTTGAATAATTGATGGAATGACACTGGACGTTAAGCAAGCAATAGTCAATTATTGATGTTGTTGTCATGTTAAATTCTCTTGGTGGGCCCATCATTACATCTATAGGTTACTATACCCAGTCAAGATTAAAAAATAGTTTAAATTTTAAATGACTTATAAAACTTGTATCAAGTCTTATCTTTTTTACTATATCCTTGTATTGAGTGTTTTCTCAGAATACGGTCTGGTTCATACACTAGAAATGATTTATTTGAATAGTCTGACCATAACTACTCTATTCTAAAGCTGCCATATTGATTTAATGATGGATTTGTGTTCTGTATAAAGATACACGTGTGGAATCGATTTATACTCCAAGAGTGTCTGATTCCAATTATTATCAGTAAACAAAGAAAATTGTCAACAAAGAAGTTTTTACTTCAAATGTTAAACAATTTTTAAAAACACTATAATGAAATATGTTATAATTATTTTACACAACAAAACATGCAACATGTAACCTTACCATGGTTTTTGGCGGTTTTGAATTACCAAATATCAAAATATGGCTATAATCTAAAGACACAATTCACACATTTCAATACTCTACTGGAAGCCGCTTATCTGGTTCCGTTTCCCTAAAGCATCTATTCAATATTCGTGTAAATATTTACTGATGTAGTATTTGTGACGTAACACCAGAACATTTGCTCTGCATCTGGATACGCTGTTCTCTGCACGCGCCGTGTGTGTATATGATATGTGCGTGTGTTGTGTTTCTAAGGAATTTTATTCAGAAACGTCTGGCTTTCCTCACAATAAAATCCAAAGTATCAAAGATACCACATAAAACGATTATGTCGGTAATAAAATTTCTATAAATTATTTCCCATTAGCATTATTTATCATAATAATGAATATATAATGATATTTCCAATTTGAAAATAAAAGGACGCTTTAAAGAAAAAAAAAATCTCAATTTTTTTTATTTTCGTTTAATATCATATCAATAAATAAAATATATTTTTTATAAACTAAAACATTAATAAAGAAATGAAATAATTTAGGTATATTCTTATCCTAGATATATATATTTACAGTTTCAACCTATAATTTTGGAAAAGATATAAAATAACTCGAAAATGGCAGGACAAATTCATAAAAAATCTTTTATTTTTATTCAGTTTTAAATTGAAAATTTACTCTCGCGTAAAATTCATCTGTAATGAAGCCTTTGTGTATTGACATAATTAATAATTAATGAGGACAGGTGATCTAATGAAGAACTTCCTCTCTATAGAACAGGTAATAATAGAAACCAGAAAATCAATAATAAAATAACATTTAATGCAAATACCTTTAAGAGTGCAGCGATGGAAAACGGGTAATGGTCCAGTGAATTAGAATCTTCATCCGAACCAAATGTAAAATTGCCTGAATCCTCGAAAATTCGGGTATCTAACTTCATGTCTGTGGATTGTTAGATTTTTTTGACATGTGTTGTCTGTGAGTGAAAGTCGTGAATGAACAGTGCGTGCTGGATTTATTGATAAGTATTGTTCATTGAAACGGTTGATTGATTCCAGATTGCGGGTATTCTATGACAAAACTGGCGATTCGACCCGGTGGTCAAACGGCTGGGGTATTTGATGTCATAACATGGCATGTGTCTATTTGATTGCGCAGTTAGCAGAGCTGATGTGTGAAAAATATGATATGGATACATCCATTTTTCTATTTCTTTTAATAATTTTACTTTCCTATTTCTTTTAATAATTTTAATGTAAATTTATTGTTTTTTACTTAAAACATGATTACTAGTATTTTTCTCAAACTTTAAACTAAATACAAGACTATTTTATGGTCTTCAAATAAGAAACAATTCGGGATGTTCGGGATGAATTCAGCCCACTGGTGGACGACGGTACAAAATGTATTACTAAAATGACACTGACGGAATATAATGGAGCCCATACGACCGCGCGAGACATGAACATGAAGGGCACCAACCCTCACAGTAGTCGTTAAACACCACGAAAGACGATTAAATCAATTACGCCATTGTACAAAATTCTGAATTTAATTACTAGTATATGACTAGTAGCTTAATTATGTGCGTTAAAATAATAATCTTTCGTCAACGGTGCTGTAAAAAAAAAGACATGTTTAAAAGGAGAGATCTAAATTAAACCTGTAGGAAAGTATGAACCAAAAATGGTCTCCATCTGAAGGATAAAGTATTCGGCGGTAATCATTACGCAACATTTAATTCGGTCCGATACTAAACTTTTTTTCCGAAGTAAGTAAGTCCATGTTCATAATTCTTCTAGAAAGTTAAGTCGCTAGAAGATATTTCTAAGAAAATGGCTCCATGATTTTTAAAGTGGTAATGTAAATTGTGATTTTGAGAATGTTCCTCTGTTTGAATGCATTAAATGTATTTGTTGATAGTACATTAAAGAGCTGTACAAAGTATTTCCAACAATTGCATGCTATGAACATTACTACTCGGTTACATTAAATATTGTAATAGCCGTAAGAAGGAGACAAAGTTCAAGAGAAAAAGAAGGAAAAAAACATTTGACGTTAAAAAAGTCCAGCAGTATAAAAAAAAAATCTGAAGAAACTGGTTGTATGTTAAAGATACACATTTCTGACTATAAATAGTTTTTTTTATATCTATCTGCATCCTTTTATATTATGCAATTAAACGTCTTTGAAAAAACAAACTTTGTCAATGTAAACCCGGATAAAAGAAGGAGAGAGTCATTGTATTTAAAAAAAAAATCCATACATGAGAATTGGCGTTATCGTATACATATAATTGGCGCAAATGAGCTAGGGCGCAAAAATCTTTAAATTGCAATTACAAAATACGTTTAATATGAGATCTCAGATATTTATTTGTTTTATTTTTACTATATAACATGATAATACTTTTTGTTTTGTTCCTTTTAATACTTTATCACTTCGTTGGCCGATCATCTTCGCTAGCCAAGGGTTACGATCCACTTCCCTCCTCTCCACAAGTGGATCGTTACCCTTGGCTAGCGAAGATGTTGGCCGATTTACTTGTTACTTTACTTTTTAAACATAAGGTTTATCCAGAAAATGTGCTTTTTCGAACTAGACATTACAGTAAGGATTCTACTTCGTCAAAAGTATCTCCCCATTACGCTACCTAATTTTTATAATCGTAAAAATGGAAGACATTGTAGTGATGACGCGCTGTCAATTTAGCTCTTGAAAACCGATAAATTTATCCACATAGCATCATTACGATCCTTATATGCCCGTTGTATTTTAAAAGACAAATGTATCATTTTATGCACTTGGTCAACTTAAACTGACTATTGTCTGGTCGGTTGTCAGGGGGAATTTTCGAAGTTCAAAAATATTTAAAAAAAATTCTAATTAAATATTTCGTGGAAGGGTAGAATAAAAATTTTCAGCGGTTGAAGACTAATTATACCCTAGAAAACAAATTATGCATTTTTAAGATCTACTTGAAAAGTCTGTCGTCAAGTACTTTTAGTAAAAATTTGTTATTCGAACACACCTACTCTGTTGTTATGACTCATTAGAAAGGTATTTCACTTGACCCATTTCATTTTCTAGTACTGTAAATTTTTAATGTTATTGTATCAACCTGGAGCCTAAATATATAAAAATAATAGAATCTGAAGCGAGATGATGTATCAAATGTTTTTCTTTTATACGTTTTCAAGACAGAACAGTCAACTCAAACACGCCTGAACATAAAAAGGTGTACTCGACTTTCTCTTTTTGATGAAATCATTGCCAGTTTTGGGTTTTTTCCCAAAAAAACTGTCGGCGGGGGCAGAGATGCAAATTAATGCTTTGAAAAGATCAATCTATTATCTTTCTTTGGAATTTTTTTCGGTGGAATTTATGCTTATGCACAAAAAGATCCACATGTATTTGCACCTACCACAATCGACTGTTTTGTGAAAATTTGTCCATAATTCAAAAATGTACAAATATCTCGAAGCTCCATACCTTAATTTGAGCAAAAACACAAACATAAGACGCATAAAATCTTAAATAAGGCACATTCATTATTTTTTTAGAAACAGATGTAAACAATTCAAATTTAGCAACTTGGTCTTATTTACCTTCTCTAACAAAGAGTTTCATTTCTTTTGTTTAATTTCAACTGGGTTTCCGCCTGACAATTGAATACCCGATGCAACAAAAAACTAAATTAATTAGATTAAATTTCTCAGTAAGGCGAGACTGGTTCCGATGAAAAGAACACCTGTCGCTTTAATACGTAACCATAATTGACTCAAGGGTCAGTCCGGTAGGTTTATTTTGGAGGTTAGGGGGTAATTTTGATGAGTTTTAGGGTTGATCAAAGAGAATGGGGATCATTCTTTTGTAATTCGATTGAGGAAAATACAATCTAAGGGAAGTAACTCAATATTTCAACGCTCCATGCACATGGGTTCCATTTCTGTGTTCTTTTTTGTACAACCGTGATAAATTCATGTCATAAGAGAGATTTCGTTATTTTATCAATGATGAAAGACATCATTTCTTCCTGAACACCTGTGTAAAATGTAGAAATGATAAAGTGTTTTTATTTCTCTGAATGAATGAAATAGTCGGGTTAATTTGTACTGAAAAAAGAACAGGCTGCATATGATTACTATCTTTATGCACCAATTAAAAAATGCACATGTATAAATCTTGTCAAACCATCACCCCTTGCGTGCGATATGAAGTGTACAAACTTTCAAAAGTTCCATACGAACGCCATTGCTCAGTAAGGTTTTGCCACAAGCATGTAAGATTGTGTGTCATATCCTATCTGTGTAGGGATTGTGTGTCATATCCTATCCGTGTAGGGATTGTGTCATATTCTATCCGTATAGGGATTGTGTGTCAATCGGATCCTATCTGTGTAGGGATTTTGTGTCATATCCTATCCGTGTAGGGATTTTGTGTCATATCCTATCAGTGTAGGGATTGTGTGTCATATCCTATATACATCTTACACGGGGTTACACTAATTCGAGTAGCAAATTGCACAAGTGCCAACACAATTAAGTGTGAAATCATACCTAGGTGATACACAACACGATTTATGGTTTAAAGCACTGAAACACATCGATTTTCTAGAATATTAGTCCTAAATATGGTGTAACTTTTTGAGTAACATTACATGGGTTTACAGTGTACGTCTTACACGGAGGTTACACTAATTCGAGTGGCGAGTTGCACCAGCATACACTTTTAAGTTTTGATTTAGTGTGATATCACACCTTAAATTCATAACACGATTTATGGTGCTAAACACTCAATCACACCATTTTCTGGAATAGTTGATCTAATAAACTGTTAACACAGAGATATGTCTCGCCTATTTGTTATTTTGATAATGCAAATGTTGAAATTAAAATAGCAATACTATAACATGTAAGTTATGCAAATATTCAAAGTCAATAAACAATGACTGAAGGTACAGGACTAAAAAAATCTCCATGGAAATGAGATGTGCCAATGCTAATACAACTTCATACCAAATACCATTGACTTATTATAAGTCGTTCCCTTTAAACAAACCTAAACACAAACATTAACTTGTAAACTATGTAAAAGTTTCAAAGTCAATGAACCAAAATGAGGGGGTCGGGTAATATAATCTCAATGGAAATGAGATGTGCTAATGCTTATACAACTGCATACCAATTAACATTGGCCTACCACTAACGGTCCCCCTTAAACTGACCTAATCACAAACTAATACATGAAAACTAAGCAA